TGAATTGGATTGTGATCTGGAGGTTTTCGATGAAAATATGCACTTCGTTATGGATTGTGATCTGAGGGTTGTGGAAGAAAGGATTGTTTCTTTCTGAATTGGATTGTGATCTGGGAGTTGTGGAATAACTGGTGTGTGTTTGTGAATTGGTTTGTGATTTGCAGTTTCTCGGTAAAAATATGTTTGCCTTTATGGGTCGTATTGTGATCTGAGGGTTCTGGAAGAAAGGATGTGTGTCTTTATGAATTGGATTGTGATCTGGAGGTTCTCGATGAAAATATGCGTGTATTTATGGGTCGTATTGTGATCTGTATGTTAACTCGTTTTTACTCTCTGTATCCGACTGGAAATGTGCATTCTTTTTGACAGGTTGGCTACACTCAGTTGTTCAGAATTTATCTGTTGTCGTTAAACCGAAATAACGTACACAAACTATGTTCAGTGTTACACGTAAAGATCCGGGTTAGAATTAGTCTTCAACAACCCATACTTGTCGTAAGAGGCGACTAACGGGACCGGGTGGTCAGGTTCACTGACTTGGTTGACACATGTCATGGTATCCCCAAAACGAAACACGATTCACGTAAATAAATTTGTCAAAAGTTAACTGCCATTTCTTCCCCTTGTCATGTCATGTGGATTGGGTGGTCAGACCCAGTGACTTCGCTGACGGCGGGTCATCATAGGCCAGTGTGGGGTATTACCTATAGATCCAGAATGAATGAATGAATATTGTTTTACGCCACATCAGCAAGTTTCCAACTATTCGCGGTGAGCTGTATTGGTCAAGGGCAAATCTGGATCAAATGAAAATGTGGTGCATTCGGGCGATGTTATCTCTCAGATATGTTTTTCAGTCATCACTATAACAACATAAAGTGCCCCCGCTTGTACAGAGTAATGGATTTGTAGTGTGGCAGGTATGAAGTCATTTAAGATTTGGTTTCTTTGATTGTCTACAGTTTTAACTCAAGTAGTATCATTTTAAGCGTTAGTCAATAGTTATTTGTAGATCTTGCATAGTCTATTACGGGTATAAGGGGTGTCAAGTCATTGTGTCATCGCTTGTGTTGTGTCCTTTGACTTGTTCGGCCTCTTGTGTTGATTGGTTCTTTTAAAACACTAAAAACTACTTGCACGTCAGCCATTGCACTTCAGGAGCACTTCAGGTGCCACCAGGAGGTCATTAAATATAGTTGGTGTCACCAGGAGAAGCTCATTAAATATAGTTGGTGCCACCAGGAGAAGGTCATTAAATATAGTTGGTGCCACCAGGAGAAGGTCATTAAATATAGTTGGTGCCACCAGGAGAAGGTCATTAAATATAGTTGGTGCCACCAGGAGAAGGTCATTAAATAACCCTACTGGATCAGCGTGATCGTGATGTAACAGGCAACAATGTCGATCAGGGTGATCGTGATGTGATGAGAGTGATTGAGAGTACTGACATCCAGTGATCGAAGAAAAAAACAAAATGCCTTGAAGTTGCATGAAGATGGGATGGACTATAGCGTTATATAAATACCCATATAATAATGATAATATTCGGGTCATATTTGTAATTATGGAAACAGTGAACATTTTGTCCACTCCCTAAATCTAACTAATCCTGGTCAATCACTTGAAACGTATCTTAGAAAAATCATGCAAAAGAGTAAATCCATTTATTATATCATATGTCTAAATTTCTTAGGTAGTTTAAATACATTTCACATCACCCCAACAGGCTGGGAGAGGTATTTCTTCGGAGTGAGTCCACATAGATCCACTCCATGGCACGGTACGGCGCCAACAGCTTGCAGTAGTACATGCCAGCGAAAGATGAGATGAAGGCGTCGGCAGCTGTCACTAGAGAGGCAGAAGTTACCTCTAGCGCATTCGCTGTTTCCTTCAGATCCAAGGTCCATCCCACCCATTGGAAGCCAGTGCCAAGTTTGACGTCATCTTTGAAAACAAATTTCCTCACTGCGTGTTTCTGGTACCGAGCCCTCGCCACACTAGAGGAGGAGTTTAGAGCCAGCTGGAATGCAGCCTGTGGAAAGAGGATCAACATTCAACTACAACAATCTCCATACAGTGACACACCATGTACAACAATCTCCATACAGTGACACAACATGTACAACAATCTCCATACAGTGACATATTATGTACAACAATCTCCATACAGTGACACGACATGTACAACAATCTCCATACAGTGACACGACATGTACAACAATCTCCATACAGTGACATATTATGTACAACAATCTCCATACAGTGACACGACATGTACAACAATCTCCATACAGTGACATATTATGTACAACAATCTCCATACAGTGACACGACATGTACAACAATCTCCATACACTGACATACCATGTACAACAATCTCCATACAGTGACATATTATGTACAACAATCTCCATACAGTGACACGACATGTACAACAATCTCCATACAGTGACATACCATGTACAACAATCTCCATACAGTGACATATTATGTACAACAATCTCCATACAGTGACATATTATGTACAACAATCTCCATACAGTGACATATTATGTACAACAATCTCCATACAGTGACACGACATGTACAACAATCTCCATACAGTGACACGACATGTACAACAATCTCCATACAGTGACATATTATGTACAACAATCTCCATACAGTGACACGACATGTACAACAATCTCCATACAGTGACACGACCATGTACAACAATCTCCATACAGTGACATATTATGTACAACAATCTCCATACAGTGACACGACATATACAACAATCTCCATACAGTGACATATTATGTACAACAATCTCCATACAGTGACACGACATGTACAACAATCTCCATACAGTGACATATTATGTACAACAATCTCCATACAGTGACACGACATGTACAACAATCTCCATACAGTGACACACCATGTACAACAATCTCCATACAGTGACATATTATGTACAACAATCTCCATACAGTGACACGACATGTACAACAATCTCCATACAGTGACACGACATGTACAACAATCTCCATACAGTGACATATTATGTACAACAATCTCCATACAGTGACATATTATGTACAACAATCTCCATACAGTGACATATTATGTACAACAATCTCCATACAGTGACATATTATGTACAACAATCTCCATACAGTGACATATTATGTACAACAATCTCCATACAGTGACACGACATGTACAACAATCTCCATACAGTGACACGACATGTACAACAATCTCCATACAGTGACATACGACATGTACAACAATCTCCATACAGTGACACGACATGTACAACAATCTCCATACAGTGACATATTATGTACAACAATCTCCATACAGTGACACGACATGTACAACAATCTCCATACAGTGACATATTATGTACAACAATCTCCATACAGTGACACGACATGTACAACAATCTCCATACAGTGACATATTATGTACAACAATCTCCATACAGTGACATATTATGTACAACAATCTCCATACAGTGACATATTATGTACAACAATCTCCATACAGTGACATATTATGTACAACAATCTCCATACAGTGACACGACATGTACAACAATCTCCATACAGTGACATATTATGTACAACAATCTCCATACAGTGACACGACATGTACAACAATCTCCATACACTGACATACCATGTACAACAATCTCCATACAGTGACATATTATGTACAACAATCTCCATACAGTGACATATTATGTACAACAATCTCCATACAGTGACACGACATGTACAACAATCTCCATACAGTGACATATTATGTACAACAATCTCCATACAGTGACACGACATGTACAACAATCTCCATACAGTGACACATGTACCAGCAATCTCCATACATGTACAACAATCTCCATACAGTGACATATGTACAACAATCTCCATACAGTGACACGACATGTACAACAATCTCCATACAGTGACATATTATGTACAACAATCTCCATACAGTGACACGACATGTACAACAATCTCCATACAGTGACATATTATGTACAACAATCTCCATACAGTGACATATTATGTACAACAATCTCCATACAGTGACACGACATGTACAACAATCTCCATACACATTACAGTACAACAATCTCCATACAGTACAACTGTATATATGTACAATCTCCATACACTGACATACCATGTACAACAATCTCCATACAGTGACATATTATGTACAACAATCTCCATACACTGACACACCATGTACAACAATCTCCATACAGTGACATATTATGTACAACAATCTCCATACAGTGACATATTTCCAACCTCATATTTAATAATTACTCATGTGTAATATATTTAATTCAACATTTTAAGCGAAACTCGTGGCATATCACATCGTTCTTCGCCTCCATTACCTCTCCATTATCCCTGCCAGCTTCCGGTTCAACGGAGTGAAGGAACACGAATACACAGAAATTAAAAAGAAATATCATATTGCCTAATTTTACCATTAAACTGTTTAAGATTATTTTTCTTATCTGCCGTCGACATTGTCAGAATCTTCGTAACATTTATTCTACAAAAAAACTTCTGACGTCGTGGGCGAATGAAGCATGGGAGATAACTCCGCAAGTATTCCATTTGGCGGACATGTGATTCAACAAGCTTATTTAGATTTACGTCGTGATATGCCACGAGTTAAGCTTAAAATGTTGACTTAAATATATTATACGTGAGTAATTATTAAATATGAGGTTGGAAATCTGAGACCACAACCCTGTGAGGAAATGGCTGTCTACTTTTGATATTTTATTCTGATATTAAAACTAGTTTTGAAACCGAAGTGAGGAAAGTACGTTGCCAACGTTTGCTCGCTTCGCTCGCATGTAGGAAGACTGGTCAGTTTCTCTTTGTTGCGCAAACCGAACATTGCTGTCTAAGTGCGGGAAGAAGTCGAATTTAGATTCTGCTGGATGAGTGACATGAGATGCTCACATTAGGAAAACAGTCTCTCACCTCGTTGATGTCCTTGCATGTGATGGTGGGACCTGGTCCGGCCTTGACCCCCGACATAGACTTTACGACTGCCTCGCGTGTCTTCATCTTGGCCTCGAGTTGATCTGGTGAAGCTTTGTTTGTGGAGACATCCAGGGGGTTGAGAGGCAGGGAGACGTGGGTGACGGTGTCGACGATGTTGGTGCCTGTGTCTGCCTTTGCCAGCAAAAACGCAGGCTCACCCTCCTCCTTGCTGGTTACCTGTTTTACACAGGTATACAGTAACTGATCTTTACGTGTTATACACTAATATACAAGACATGATCCTTATGTGTTATACACTGATATACAACAGTTGACCTTTATGTGTTATACACATATATACAACAGTTGACCTTTGTGTGCTATACACAGATATACAACAGTTGACCTTAGAGTGCTATACACAGATATACAACAGTTGACTTGTGTGTTATATACACATATATACAACAGTTGACCTTTGTGTGTTATACACAGATATACAACAGTTGACCTTAGAGTGCTATACACAGATATACAACAGTTGACTTGTGTGTGTTATACACATATATACAACAGTTGACCTTTGTGTGTTATACACAGATATACAACAGTTGACCTATATGTGTTATACACAGATATACAACAGTTGACCTTAGAGTGCTATACACAGATATACAACAGTTGACCTTTGTGTGTTATACACAGATATACAACAGTTGACCTTTATGTGTGTTATACACACATATACAACAGTTGACCTTTATGTGTTATACGCTGATATACAACAGTTGACTAGTGTGTGTTATGCACACATATACAACAGTTGACCTTTGTGTGTTATACACAGATATACAACAGTTGACCTTTGTGTGTTATACACAGATATACAACAGTTGACCTTTTGTGTGTTATACACAGATATACAACAGTTGACCTTTATGTGTTATACACACATATACAACAGTTGACTTGTGTGTGTTATACACAGATATACAACAGTTGACCGTTATGTGTTATACACAGATATACAACAGTTGACCTATATGAGTTATACACAGATATACAACAGTTGACCTTTGAGTGCTATACACAGATATACAACAGTTGACCTTTGTGTGTTATACACAGATATACAACAGTTGACCTTTATGTGTTATACACACATATACAACAGTTGACCTTTATGTGTTATACACAGATATACAACAGTTGACTTGTGTGTGTTATACACACATATACAACAGTTGACCTTAGAGTGCTATACACAGATATACAACAGTTGACCTTTGTGTGTTATACACAGATATACAACAGTTGACCTTTATGTGTTATACACACATATACAACAGTTGACCTTTATGTGTTATACACAGATATACAACAGTTGACTTGTGTGTGTTATACACACATATACAACAGTTGACCTTTATGTGTTATACACAGATATACAACAGTTGACCTTTATGTGTTATACACACATATACAACAGTTGACCTTTATGTGTTATACATCGATATACAACAGTTGACCTTTGTGTGTTATACACAGATATACAACAGTTGACCTTTGTGTGTTATACACATATATACAACAGTTGACCTTTGTGTGTTATACACATATATACAACAGTTGACCTTTGTGTGTTATACACAGATATACAACAGTTGACCTTAGAGTGCTATACACAGATATACAACAGTTGACTTGTGTGTGTTATACACATATATACAACAGTTGACCTTTGTGTGTTATACACAGATATACAACAGTTGACCTTAGAGTGTTATACACAGATATACAACAGTTGACTTGTGTGTGTTATACACATATATACAACAGTTGACCTTTGTGTGTTATACACAGATATACAACAGTTGACCTATATGTGTTATACACAGATATACAACAGTTGACCTTAGAGTGCTATACACACATATACAACAGTTGACCTTTATGTGTTATACGCTGATATACAACAGTTGACTAGTGCGTGTTATGCACACATATACAACAGTTGACCTTTGTGTGTTATACAGTGCTATGATATACAACAGTTGACCTTTTGTGTTATACATGGTTGATATACAACAGTTGACCTTTGTTTGTGTTATACACAGATATACAACAGTTGACCTTTATGTGTTATACACATATGTGATATACAACAGTTGACCTTTATGTGTGTTATACACAGATATACAACAGTTGACTTGTGTGTGTTATACACAGATATACAACAGTTGACCTTTGTGTGTTATACACAGATATACAACAGTTGACCTTTATGTGTTATACACAGATATACAACAGTTGACCTTTATGTGTTATACACAGATATACAACAGTTGACCTTTATGTGTTATACATCGATATACAACAGTTGACCTTTGTGTGTTATACACAGATATACAACAGTTGACCTTTGTGTGTTATACACTGATATACAACAGTTGACCTTTGTGTGTTATACACTGATATACAACAGTTGACCTTTGTGTGTTATACACAGATATACAACAGTTGACCTTTGTGTGTTATACACAGATATACAACAGTTGACCTTTGTGTATTGTACACTGATATACAACTGTTGACCTCTGTGTGTTATACACTGATATACAACAGTTGACATTTGTGTATTATACACAGATATACAACAGTTGACCTTTGTGTGTTATACACATATATACAACAGTTGACCTTTATGTGTTATACATTGATATACAACAGTTGACCTTTGTGTGTTATACACTGATATACAACAGTTGACCTTTGTGTATTATACACTGATATACAACAGTTGACCTATGTGTGTTATACACAGATATACAACAGTTGACCTTAGAGTGCTATACACAGATATACAACAGTTGACCTTTATGTGTTATACACAGATATACAACAGTTGACCTTTATGTGTTATACACAGATATACAACAGTTGACCTTTGTGTGTTATACACATATATACAACAGTTGACCTTGTGTGTGTTATACACACATATACAACAGTTGACCTTTATGTGTTATACACATATATACAACAGTTGACCTTTATGTGTGTTATACACAGATATACAACAGTTGACCTTTATGTGTTATACATCTATATACAACAGTTGACCTTTGTGTGTTATACACTGATATACAACAGTTGACCTTTGTGTTATACACATATATACAACAGTTGACCTTTGTGTGTTATACACTGATATACAACAGTTGACCTTTGTGTGTTATACACAGATATACAACAGTTGACCTTTGTGTGTTATACACTGATATACAACAGTTGACCTGTGTGTGTTATACACTGATATACAACAGTTGACCTTTGTGTTATACACAGATATACAACAGTTGACCTTTATGTGTTATACACTGATATACAACAGTTGACCTTTATGTGTTATACATCGATATACAACAGTTGACCTTTGTGTGTTATACACAGATATACAACAGTTGACCTTTGTGTGTTATACACATATATACAACAGTTGACCTTTGTGTGTTATACACTGATATACAACAGTTGACCTTTGTGTGTTATACACATATATACAACAGTTGGCCTTTGTGTGTTATACACAGATATACAACAGTTGACCTTTGTGTATTGTACACTGATATACAACTGTTGACCTCTGTGTGTTATACACTGATATACAACAGTTGACATTTGTGTATTATACACTGATATACAACAGTTGACCTTTGTGTGTTATACACAGATATACAACAGTTGACCTTTATGTGTTATACATCGATATACAACAGTTGACCTTTGTGTATTGTACACTGATATACAACTGTTGACCTTAGAGTGCTATACACAGATATACAACAGTTGACTTGTGTGTGTTATACACATATATACAACAGTTGACCTTTGTGTGTTATACACAGATATACAACAGTTGACCTATATGTGTTATACACAGATATACAACAGTTGACCTTAGAGTGCTATACACAGATATACAACAGTTGACCTTTGTGTGTTATACACAGATATACAACAGTTGACCTTTATGTGTTATACATCGATATACAACAGTTGACCTTTGTGTGTTATACACTGATATACAACAGTTGACCTTTGAGTGTTATACACAGATATACAACAGTTGACTTGTGTGTGTTATACACATATATACAACAGTTGACCTTTGTGTGTTATACACAGATATACAACAGTTGACCTATATGTGTTATACACAGATATACAACAGTTGACCTTTGAGTGTTATACACAGATATACAACAGTTGACCTTTATGTGTTATACACTGATATACAACAGTTGACCTTTATGTGTTATACATCGATATACAACAGTTGACCTTAGAGTGTTATACACAGATATACAACAGTTGACCTTTATGTGTTATACACACATATACAACAGTTGACTTGTGTGTGTTATACACAGATATACAACAGTTGACCGTTATGTGTTATACACAGATATACAACAGTTGACCTATATGTGTTATACACAGATATACAACAGTTGACCTTTAGAGTGTATATACGCACATATACAACAGTTGACCTTTATGTGTTATACACTGATATACAACAGTTGACCTATGTGTGTTATACACTGATATACAACAGTTGACATTTGTGTATTATACACTGATATACAACAGTTGACCGTTATGTGTTATACACAGATATACAACAGTTGACCTTTATGTGTTATACACAGATATACAACAGTTGACCTTTATGTGTTATACACAGATATACAACAGTTGACTTGTGTGTGTTATACACACATATACAACAGTTGACCTTTATGTGTTATACACAGATATACAACAGTTGACCTTTATGTGTTATACACTGATATACAACAGTTGACCTTTATGTGTTATACATCGATATACAACAGTTGACCTTTGTGTGTTATACACAGATATACAACAGTTGACCTTTGTGTGTTATACACATATATACAACAGTTGACCTTTGTGTGTTATACACTGATATACAACAGTTGACCTTTGTGTGTTATACACATATATACAACAGTTGGCCTTTGTGTGTTATACACAGATATACAACAGTTGACCTTTGTGTATTGTACGCTGATATACAACTGTTGACCTCTGTGTACAACAGATATGCAACAGTTGACTTTATTGTATTATACACAGATATACAACAGTTGACCTTTAGTGTGTTATACACACATATACAACAGTTGACCTTTATGTGTTATACATTG